AGGTAATGTTTCGTAAAAATACTAATGTCCGATGTGAATCCATTGAAGTTAAACTATTTGTAATGTCCGAACTTTGTAATCGTTCCTGGTCAAATATCTGAAGTTTTCCGATTGTTAAGGGTTATAACAATCACAGTTATAGCTTCCGAAGTTTTATAGCACACTGATTATAGCGAACTAATAATAGATACTCTCTTTGGCGTGTCGCGTTGGTTATATTTATAGCCGTGTGGAGGCGTTCTAGAAAATTCAGATTACCTAACAATAAAAGTTTGTAGATTCTTACTTTCGAGAATCTTCTACAACTTTGGAGAATAGGCGGGAGTTTCGCAATACATATTTAACAGTATAAGCTATGTATGGTTTTAAATATAAATTTAATCTAAACAACGTTGATATTAAAATAAATATATAATATATAAATATATTAAAATAAATAATAACAAATTCGTTACAACATTAAACTGTCAAAATATTATTAAGTTATTCACAAAAATCAGGGCTTGAACACTAATGTAAATACATATATTTGAAACACTGATTCTTCTTCCCTCTACAGGGCCAGTAATCATACAGGCTTACTCACGTCTCTCCAAATCAAAATTTTCCTGCTCTGACATTTACATCCGGGTCACTTTCTATGTTACATTACATTCATTCTGTTATTGTAAATGTATGGTACGGCACCTTAAAATATAAAGAATTTAAAGGTAAAAAATACAACAATTTTCTACAGTGTAATTCGTGACGTTTCTGTATATATTTGATAAAATGTTCTTTATATTTTGCTAGTTGTTATACTTATTATTTTATTATAATATGGGTTTCCAATTACACGGAATATTACAAATTTGACATAAAAACATATGATAAGACGAGCAGTTTTGTAATATATTATCTTCTTCTTCAGCCGGAACAGGAAACTGCGTTATTGACAAAGCCAGGAGAAACTGGTGCCCACACTGCAGACTGCAGAGATGTTTTGCTGTAAATATGAACAAAGACGGTGAGTATCACAACGAGAACGAAAACTGTTTAGCTTTATAACATCTTTCTACATTACAACTGACAGGAAAATATTGGTATTAGTGTAAATCGATTCCTTGAACTGCATTGAACACTTACAATGAAACAATCATAAAAATATATATTATATATAAGTGCCTTATTATTACACCTAACAATGATAAAAATATATATTACATATAAGTGCCTTATTATTACACCTAACAATGATAAAAATATATATTACATATAAGTGCCTTATTATTACACAAAGTTTTGTGTCATGAGGATAGTGCACCAAGCACACTACTGGTGTTCATGTTTTTCTAAATGAGTGATATCCCATCAGTAGCGCAACGGTATGTCTTCGGACTTACAACGCTAGAAACTGGGTTTCGATACCCGTGATGGGCAGAGCGTAGGTAGCCCACTGTGTAGTTTTGTGCTTAACTACAAACGACTAAAATAACTAATATTCTGTTCTTAAACAGTATCAAACTGTTTAAGTATACATAATAGGTATATTTTTCGCTGTTTATTATATTTTTTATTATAAGGATTATTTTTCATTGTTAGCCTAGTACGTGAACTTAGGACTAACCTGAATATTCGAAGCTGGCCGAATCCCGTGAGATATTATTGGGATTACGACTGGAAATATCTCTTAACAGCGACATACCTCACTGATGAATCAATACATTCTAATTATAACTAAGAAGGGTGTTTTAAAATAGCTATATTCATCACATGTAGATGGCTTGTTTTGATCAGGAATCAATAATAATTATACTTTATATATATATATATATACTTGTTTGAAGAATGAAACTAAATCAACGTATTATTACATAAGTTTGTAACAAACAAAATCTACATTATTTTGTGCGTCTTTAAAGGAAAGAACAAAGGGTGGAAACGTTTGGAAATTTGTTCTTCAACATCCTGTGTTGAATTAAGTCATTTCTTACCTTTCGAAAGCTATTAAAGTTATGTAGTAATAACTGTATTCAAACATTTCCTAAAAATTTCCTTTTTTCTTCTTCTTATGATTGACTTAGATATAGCATTATTAATTGGATTGTTTATCAAATTTGTTAATAGTTTAGTTTTATGGAGATTTTTGTGACATCTTTGATAATTTCCGTTTTCAGGAAATGTTCGGTTGTTACTAGAGTTCGCAATCATGAACAGAATCTCAGCCCTTGTTTATCTTAAACGCTTACCTAACTGAACATAATATAATTTATTTGCGTTAGTGATGTGTTATAGCTTGAAACAAAACGTTTTGAAAGCTTCTTAAATCAAACCTCAGAAATAAAAAGCAACAAATATGTGTGTATGTTATTGTAGCTATCTCAGTTCCTTCATTAATATAATTTATTTACGTTAGTGATGTGTTATAAAACGTTTTGAAAGCTTCTTAAATCAAACCTCAGAAATAGAAAGCAACAAATATGTGTGTATGTTATTGTAGCTACCTCAGTTCCTTCATTAATATAATTTATTTACGTTAGTGATGTGTTATAGCTTGAAACAAAACGTTTTGAAAGCTTCTTAAATCAAACCTCAGAAATAGAAAGCAACAAATATGTGTGTATGTTATTGTAGCTACCTCAGTTCCTTCATAATTAATCTGTCAATGCGCGTTTTACGGTGTACTCTCTTAAATAAAAGTTCCGTGAATTAATTGTTAACTTACCAAAAAACTTAAAGAGCGCTCGTAAAGGACGCCATATTAACATATAGAACTAGCACATCTGTGTGGGTTTTGTTTTCTTACAAAACAAAGTGATAAATCATTTTTAATGTAAGCTGATTGTATAAAATAAAGCGAAAGAACCTCTGATTACTAAGGTAATGGCTTGTCATTTGCAATGCTTAGATTTGCCTGTTCATATATATCTTCTAAACGCATCGTTGTGTAGTAAAACATGATAAGTGAGCCGATTGTTCAGAGCGATGACGTTACGAAAAAAAAAAAGCTTTTCCCGGATGTTTTCATCACATTATGTGACTCAATTGAGCCAAAAATAATAGTTTTAGTTTTGTGTTACTAGCTAAGCTTTTAAATACGTGACAAACTGACAGTAGGTGTCTCATCGAAGCTGTACTTACACTGTTTTCACGGCTCTAGTTCAGGGAATAGTTGATGATGTCTTCTTTTGTCCTTTTCGACATTTTCCCGATTCCTTGCCACCTCTAAACGCGCAGTTATCGGCCCTCCAAATCTCAGCCGTAAAGACTGCTACCTCATGTGGCGAGCCTTCCACCTGCACGTGAATAAGAAAACGTCAATAACCATTATTTGATCATTTTCCGCCACCGGCGCTAACAATCACAGGCGCACACACCGAAGGTTGGTACTGCACGTGTTTTGTGAGCGATGATTGGCAGGTAAAGTTTTCAAGCACGCGCAGAAGGCGGAGCGTGCTACTCAGTTAAAGGCAATGCGCGAGCTTTACAGTAATACAAAATATTTAGATTCATGCAACAAACATCACGCCAACAGAGCGGCACATATAATTGGTACTCGAGAAAGAAGAAGAACCTGAATTTTACTGTCAGTCGATAATAGTCAATTTCTATATATATGTTTTATTACGAATGTTTCAACTTGACAGAGTAAACTGTTATAATTGAGTTAACACGTATATATCTATACATACAAATATGTGTTGTTTGTAAAAATTGTTGTGTATCAGTAACGTACGTAGTGAACCTCGTGACATTTTAAACGTACTACTTAGAGACTTGTCAGAACATGCCCATTTACAAAGCTTACAAAATACTATAAGCTATGTATATTTATCTTGTATAACGCGTAAAGAATTAACACAAGAACTGAATGTACAAAAATACTGCAGTATAACACTGTTGAATAATTATGGTTGAGAAAATCGATCATCGATCGTTCTGCTAAAGTTTTAGGATCTTTATATATACTTACCCTATCTAAGATATCGCAAGTCAATGAATGATATTTGCTGAACTCAATAGCGAGTACCAGTATGAAGTACGAGTAGAATGGAAATTAGATAATAACAATGTGAAGTATTTAGCGGTGTGTGTGAAAGTTCATACGTAACAGCATAAAATCACTTTTTAAACTCGTGCCTACGCATATATCTACTTTGATGCGAGAACAGTTGCTCAGATACATTCTAGGTGACACATGCTGAACATGATATAAATCGATGATAATGATAATAGTGTCGTGCACATGTCTTAATATGACTTGATATAAGTTCTAAGGCCTGGCGGTTAGGGCATTCGCTTCGCATATTGCGCATCGCGAGTTCGAATCACGTCACTGAACATACATGCCCTTTCAGTCATGAAGGCGTTGTAATGTTTAGGTCAGTAAAGCATTTAGTTTGGTTAATAGAGCTATACTTATTGTTGAAAATGTTAATACTCTGTAATTTACTGCTTACTCGTATCATACGCTTTTTAGAAAAATGTCTGTAGAGATGAGAAAATATTTAACTGATCCAGTATTTAGTATTTTGGTATCTTAAACCTGACTAACACCTTTTGCGACACATGGGTTAAATGGACAGGTCAGAGTCCATTAATATTTAGACATAGCCCTCCATTTGTTAGAACTATTGACTAGAAAAGGAGCAATCAGTCAGTAGCATTTGCCGCCTACGCAGCTACTCTTAACTTATTAACAGGATTGACTTTCACAGGTACGAAACCCTACAACTCTGTAGATCGTGTTCAGTGCCATATCATGGCTCGAACCTTGAACCGTCCATTTAAACCACTATCCACGTCTTGTCCAGTTCTACCTTCACTGTAAAATGTCTGTATGAACTGCAAAAGTATATGTCATTTACTAAGGTTTAATTAGAATAAGGGCTGGGCGTGGCCAAGTAGCTGTAGTGCCGAATATGACACTTGTGAATTCGAAGGTCCATGGTTTGTGTCCTGTTGCCTCAGAACCGAGCTCTGCACTTTGGGGCCGTGGGAACGTTATAACAGTTAAGGTCAAATCCTATTTTTCGATTAGAATTGCCCAAGAGGTTAAGGTGGGTACTGTTGCTTAACTGCTTTCCCTCTAATCTACCAACTCCAAATTAGGGATCTCTAGGAAAACTTACTTAAGTTTTGATTATTCATGTCTCGCTTTGTAAGTCACGGCTGAATTGAAGTGTGACAACCTACAAAATGTTCTGACCAATTATAGTTTCATTAACTATACTATCTGATCAAAACATTTAACATGTACAAAAACAGCCAACTTAGAATAAAGGAGTTAGCCATATAAAGATGTGATTAAGGGTAAACCCTTTAAAGATGTACGTAAAAATAATTTAAACAAGAAAAAATTGGGAAAAGTTGACTTCCTTTGATGTTGACTTTCATGACAGGGATTGCAAGGAATTGCACAAAACCCTAACGGAATGTTCGGGCAAAAAATACCTTAAACAGTAAAGATTCAATTCAAACAACGCTTTAAAGGTTTTGCTATTGACTCCAAAGGTTGTACACACATAAAACAGCACAAAAAGCAAGCATGTTAGACTTACAAGGAAAAGAAAATCCGCTCAAAACAGCATGCTTGTAATTCTTCTTCTTATTATTATTAAAAACGGCTTGGTATATTGCATCCAAACCTGTTGTATAATACTAAATAAAGTACTGCAAAGGTCGTAGGGGTATTGAAAAGTTGATTTGTGTCTTCTATATTTTACATAAGCTAAAAAACATTATAATTCAAGGGTAAACGAGGCTATCATTACCCCTTGAAGTTAGCTTTTCTACAAACATATTGTGCTCCTTCAAAAAGCTTAAGTGCAGGGTGAAACAGGAATTATCAGCCGAAAGATGAACATTAGATTATTGTAAGATGTACATAATCAACTTTTTTATACAATGTTTGTCTTTAGGGAGCCAACCCCTGTATTATGTGCGAAATGAAGGAGTAAAAATTCAATATACATAATATTAAGTTTTATTACACACACATTCGTAGAATATTTACTTTAAAAGACACGAAGGTTTATTTAAACCGATGTTTTAGGCGTATATGTTTTACTTGAAAAGGCTTTTCTACTGGTTAAATTTTACACGCGCTTAGTGGGGGTTGTGTCTTAGTCTAGGCATATATTTGTCCATTGTTATGCATTATATATAGAGAATTTACTTACACAAAAAACTATAAATGCTCACTATTTTCTCAAACAAATCTCTATGATAATCTCCAGCTGCAACTTAATATTTTACATCTCGAGCTAATGTGATCAAATATTCAATAGCTACAGTAAATCATCATGAACCGTATCAGCTAGCTAAGTTTATCGTTACAATGTATAAAGTTAACTACCATATCAAGTAATCATTTGCCTATATTTGAGCATGAAATAAGCCAGCAAGTAAAATATATATTTTGACTCTACCAAATGTAATTCTAGGTAACAGCATGAACCCAAAATAGGGGTTTGTGGTTTCAATAAATAATGTCTACAGTATCTCCAATCTTGTTTCCTTACTTTTGTTTATAATCCCCATTTGCAGGTTATAAATTCCCAATTTTTTATTTATCTTGTATTAATTTTGATATTTGTTCCATTTCCAATGAAAAACGGGGCTACGCATTCTCCAGTATTTCTTATTTAACTTATACACTTTTACATTATGTCTTTACAGGGTTTGCTCTTTGTAACTTGGCTCTTTTTTTATATCACATCTTTATATGATTGTCCTTTTATGCTAACTTGGCTGTTTTTGAAGGTGTAACACGTTTTTATCAAATATTACAAAATTGTGTTTTTATTATTATTTTTAAATTAATATCTCACGCGAAGTGGTGCTCGAACCATGACTACCATAGCAAGCTGTCAACACAGCGAATTAAACTACTACATCAGTTCTTCATTCCATATTCTCAAAGTGCCCGTATACCCTTAGGTCTCAAGTTTTAAACGAGTGTTTTTATATTTTCCAAGTCCCCGTATACCCTTAAATCTCAAGTTTTAAACGAGTGTTTTTCTATTTTCAAAGTGCCCGTATACCCTTAGGTCTCAAGTTTCAAACGAGTGTTTTTATATTTTCAAAGTGCCCATATACCCTTACGTCTCAAGTTTTAAACGAGTGTTTTTCTATTTTCAAAGTGCCCGTATACCCTTAGGTCTCCAGTTTTAAACGAGTGTCTAGTAAAATTTTGTTTCGTCCCGGTCTTTCTCGATTTACATTACGTTTTGTCACTTCAACAAGAAGAATAAAAACAATTTTACAAGATTTTTAATACTTATTTCTCTTAATATAAAACAGATATAAAGCCTTTGTTTTTACTCAAAATGTTAAGATATGTACAGAAAAATAAAAATAATGAAATTTCATCATTTGGAACAGCTGTGGCAATACCACATATTTGATCTAAAGTTCGGTTAGATTTAGCAGATTGTGATAGACTACACATATGAATTATTGAATAACTATAAAAACTCACTACATTAGGTGCTGTCATTACTTAGCGTAAGTTACGATCTAAGGTATAAACAACTGAAGTTAACAGTTTTAAGCATACGTTCTATGAACTTTGCTTATGCCATTAATGTGGAATGTGCTTTGATTCTCAGTTATAAAAGGTTAGTACGTTCTGGTTTTCAAATAAGTTAAACAATGATTATTTTTTCAGATTACCTTAGTTAAATGTGAAACCTAAAAAAAGGGAAATAGACATTTAAACTATCTAGTAATAATTTTTTTACCTATGCTAAACATTTAACCTTTTAATAGAGCCTTTTTATAAGATTTTTCTATGCTAAATTTCAAATAATTAAACTAAGATTTAGGTGTATAAAAAATCTTTATATCATACAATGTAGCGATGAGAGTAAATGTACTGGTTATAAACTTGTATAATCGTTATACACATCTGTAGCATAAAATATGATCATACAGAAAGTGCATAAACTTGGAACTCTAGGGATAAATAAAGGACTATTAAAAGTATTTAAGATAAAAATGGAACTAATAATAATGTTAAATAAGTAAAAAATATCACCAGAAATTACGCATTTTGTTTGTTCAACTGTAAATTGACTGGATGAACTCGCACTCATAGTACTACTCTGGAATGTCTTGAGAAATTTTATTGTTTCTCAGCCTTGAAAAGTTATGTATCCTACAGCTACTAATAACAAGAAAGCAGAAAGTTAAAGATGTGTAGTTGAGAATACAACAGTCACGTATAAAAATATCAAAATGGCAATCTCAAGACAAAGTATTGTTTTGCCTATATTAAAATATAATTTTTCCATTTGACTTTTGAATATTTTGAATTTTATTGAGTTTTGTTTGAAGTAGGTATGCTTACATTAAGTATTAGGACGTATTTCATTACGTATTATTGTGTTGTGACGGTGAAAATATTTTTGTTTAATTTACTGGTTGAACTCACCTGGAAGGTCTCGAGGAATATGAGCTCTTTAGTTTTTATTTCTCAATTTAAGTAATTGCTTAACATGATCTATGTGTGTGTGTATATATATATATATATATATATGTGTGTGTGTGTGTGTGTGTGTATTTATATCTTTGTAGCGTTTGAGTATAAACCAAAATATATAAAATTACAATATTTTCGTCATAGCTGTACAAGAAGAAAGAGGACCAAGGAAGACTAAGAATCCAAGAACCAGTTCATGCAGCAACAAGACAGGTTCCAGATCCAAGATCCGGATAAGGTCACCAGCACGTCCAGAACCTCCTTTCCTTCCTTGCACGACACCTTGTGGCAATAGCGTCATCAATACTCCATATACTTTTCCTCAACACTCAAGTCTGCCCTTACCGTTCAGTCCCTGTTTGCTGCCTTTGGCATCTTTTTATGAAGCTAGCAGCAGTGCTTTCAGAACAGTAGTTCCTCTCAGGGCTATTGATACTTCTCGCCGACACACGGCTTTGGCTACCGCTCAACCTACCCAGGAACCAACATCATCTCGTACGTCTAAACAAACAAACAAAGAGTGTCTGGATTAGATGTCTCTCAATATTTGATTCGTAAAAATTAAACGCTAATATTATCTATGCCATAAAACCCCTAGAAAAATTGTATTCTTTCAACGATTACGTTTTTTTTTTTCAGTTGCTCAATTTTCACTACGATTCTTCTTAATTTTAATTATTAGAAAATAATTGCCTTTGTTTTCCGTAGTTAATCTCGACAAGCAATTGTTCAATTCAGTACTGACCCTTAAACTATGGATACAGGTTCTAAAAGAGCAGTATTAGCCGTTCTTCTCAGGAGATATAGTGTTAGGATTATACTTACAGTGTTAATAAACTTCTAACTATAGTGTTTGTAATAAACTTTATCCACTGGAACTGGACTATACTGACTAACTGATGAGTGGAACAAAACTGACAGTGTAACAAGGGTTTAAGGAACCTATAGTTTCCACCAGCTACACAAAATTGCAATTTTGTATTCTTCTAGGAAATTTGAACGAACAATCTCTATAAGATCTAAGATTTTTGATGAACAGAAGTTTTATTTTGCATTCCTCTTAAATTGTTCTCGAACGGATTTCAATTTAGAGGTGTGTAAAAATAGCATTCCAAACTTATCGTTTGGTTTCCCACAAGGCTCCAGGGTGCCCTTTGTTCAACATCGGAACAAATTAGCTGGAATGATGAAGTACAAAAGTACGTCCTTTGTATATTTATATATGTAGTTACAAAACTGATATGTTGCGGATTTGAATGCTTAAGGTATGTGATGACTGTGGTAAGAAAAGAGATGTGGAAGGTGTGAACTGCACTGTGATCAAGTATATTATTACCAGGACCACCACATATTAAATTCCTGCTTGGAAATGTGATCAAGTATATTATTACCAGAACTACCACATATTACATTCCTGCTTGGAAATGTGATTAAGTGTATTATTACCAGGCCCACCACATATTAAATTCCTGCTTGGAAATGTGATCAAGTATATTATTACCAGGACAACCACATATTAAGTTCCTGCTTGGAAATGTGATCAAGTATATTATTACCAGGACCACCACATTTACATTCCTGCTTGGAAATGTGATCAAGTATATCATTACCAGGACCACCACATATTATATTCCTGCTTGGAAATGTGATCAAGTACATTATTACCAGGACCACCACATATTAAATTCCTGCTTGGAAATGTGATCAAGTATATTATTACCAGAACTACCACATATTAAATTCCTGCTTGGAAATGTGATAAAGTATATTATTACCAGGACCACCACATATTAAATTCCTGCTTGGAAATGTGATCAAGTATATTATTACCAGGACCACCACATATTAGATTCCTCTTGACATCGAGCTGCCTCCCAGTGGCACAGAAGTAATTCAGGAGGCATTTAACTCTAAAAACCGGGTTTCAATACCAGAAATGGAGACAGCACAGATAGCCCATTGTGTAGCTTTGTGCTGAATTACAAACAAGGCTTCAAGCTACTGGCAGTCTACACTCGACAACAGGAGTCAACCTGAGACTACTTTATCAACTTTTCATTGTATAAACTAATTCCAAGTAATACAATTCAAGCTTTAGAATGTGATAGCTTTTTAAAAGCGCACGGACCTAGCCAAGTGCAGATTACAGTCAGATGAGCCTGATCCTTCTTAATGATGTGCATGTGTTTGGAAAAATGTTTGAGGCTGCAGCTGAACATTTTTATGTGGTTCTCAGGATGTCTGAACTTTAAGCATTACGCTTCTAGTTTTTTTTTAATTTATTCCTGGTTCTTAAGCTTATATTAGATTCTTCCAATTAACTTTTTACCTTTGTTTTATATTTCTACGCGTTTATTTGTTCAACTCACGTTCATAGTACTGCCCTGGAAAGATTAGATGGAATTTTATTGTTTCTCACCCTTGAAAAGTGACACATCATACAGATACTAATAAGAAAAAGAAAGTTTAAAGTTTAATGATTTGTAGGCGAGAGTACAACAGTCCCGTGTAAAAATATCGAAGATGGGTGTAGTGTATGGCAATCTCAAGACAACGTTTTGAAACAATTTCGAAATATTACAAGGCTTGGTGGTTAGGGCGCTCGACTCTCAACCTGCCAATGGCGAAATCGAAATCCGGCACCTAAGATGATCGCCCTCTCAGCCGTGGGAGCGTTATAACATGACTGTCAATCCCATTATTCATTGGCAAAAGAGTAGCCCTAAGAGTTAGCGGTGGGTGCTGCCTGCCACTTATCTTTCATGTGATCGACAGTTCAAAATTAAGGACGGCGGCAGATAACTTTGCTATAAAGAAAACAAACCCATAATAAATAGAGATCCGTAATTGTTTTCATAGTTTCTGATGATGTTCTCTTCATTCCTGATAATGTTTTGTGTTGTATTATGTCTGCTGGGAAGAGCTACAGGAGTATTAATTTAGACAGGACATTAGGTAAGGAGGTTTAGATTGAGTACAGTAAAGTTAAAGCCCGTAACAGCAAACTATATGGACGACACAAGTTCTTTTTTGTCTACACAGAACATAAAACATTCTAAAACTGGCTTTATATATAGAATGAAATGTTCTAATCAACAATAAAAATAGAAAGTCTAAGGCGAAAGGAATTATTTTATTTTATTTTTTCAAAGCAGTGTTTCCCAACAAAATTTATAAAAATTCACAAATAAATAATAAATCGAATTTTAATTTTTTCCAACCAGAAATTTGACACAATTCACAAAGTGTATATCAAGTTTCATATAATTATTACAGTATTTTTCATTGTGATAGCGAAAAAAAATCAACGGATATATTAGCGATACCCTACAAATTTGAAAAAGGCTGGAAAGAAATGTTTTTATTTTATTTTGCTTCATATTACTGATATTTTGTAGCTAACTTTACAAATGTCGCTGCACCAAACTTACAACATTTTTTAACTGAAATAACAACTTTGAGCATGCTTTCAGTCTGACATTATGCCAATGATTCATATCAGTATCTGTAAAATATTTCAACATTAGGGAAGACAACGTGTCTTTCAAGTAACTAAAGAGTATGAATTTATGTTGGTTCGTGCTGCAGAAGTACCAGTGTAGACTACATGGGAATTATAACGTGTTGTAAAGCAAAATATAGTGTCTACAGGCGCACAAAAGGTGTAATTGGAATTGTTGGAAGTATTGAAACTTAGAGTTTGCAAACAATATATACAGAACTACAGAAAACAGTTAAAACACCAGGATCTAAATGGGTGTTGCTGGACATGAGCATGACAATAAGCAGCTGAAATCGTCATGTGTCAGTGGAGTTAGAATAACTGTACAGTTAGTTGAACCGTGGTCCTTTTAATAAGAAATCAAGCACAGTAGTGGAATTGGCAGGTATCAAGGGTGGTCTACATACCACCAAGAATATATGTCCACGTTTTTGCTGGTCACATTCACAGCAGGATCTGGCGATGCAAGAATTAGACTGCGTGCATGACTTAGTATTCGTCCACGCTGTGTCAAGAAAAGCTGAGACAGCACATTGATGATTTACCTCTTCAAGGATTATTATTGACTTTGCTGAGCCATTGCTGAAGACACCCAGAAATAATTGCTTTGGGCTGTTAATGACTGCTTATTTCATTAAGTGGAGAAAAGCTTATTCCACCATTTATACTATAACTCAAATAGATTCAGTGTTTCCAAAAATCATTTATTAACAAGAAAATGCAAACTTGAGCAGCCACTTGGTCACTAAACATTCCCGGTGTTAGGAATGATGGATATGTGACTTCATTATGTTAGTCCTAGTCTTATGGTCTTGCTGAAAGGCAAATGAAAACTGTCATGTTCATGCTTATCAAGTTTGTCAGCTCTGAGTGGACTGATTAGGATGATTATCTCCTATATTTGATTATAGTTAATTGGACTACTAAATAACAGTTCACAGACTCTTTGCTGAGCTTATTAATATTTGGTCGAGATATGAAGATCCTTATTGAAATTATGTTAAACCTAACACTAGGAGCAGTGTTCACAAAAATATGTGGAAATGTTGTAGCAACCTTGGTGGACATACATGCATATGCACATTGCCAGTAAAGAGAGACTGCTAACTGAAAGGAAAATGACTATAATCAAACAGAGATGGAAACTTGTTTGGTTCAGTATAAAAAAGACTTTGTCTGGCAGTGATATAATCCAACTGCTTGTCAACCACTTGGTTCTAGTATGAGCTAAAGAAGTATTAAAGTACAAGAGTCAAACGCTAGAACAAGCTGAGGCTTTCTGTTGATGCGAATTTGTTTATCTCTGGATGGACTTGCTGGTGAAGTCTCATGTTGTGAATATGGCTCTTCAGCTACTTATAATCAGTCAGAAGAGGATGAAATTTATATCCAAGCAGAGCAACTACGCTGTCATAAGTTGGAGCAAAGTAATAAGCCTCTATTGCAACTAAAACGACATGGATAGCTGGTCAAGACAACTATGCCATCCAAAGGCTGAAAGGAAGGCCGAGGCTGAATAAAGAAAGCATAATACCTATTGTTTGGATTTCTCTGATAATTTACTTAAATAAAATTTTAAGAGTTTTATAGAATGTTTAGGTATTTTAGTTCACAAGTTAAAAACAGCTTTTGGCATTTCCTTTACTGTTTTATATCATTTTGCCATTGAAATTTCATTATGACAACATGATGTTATTGTTACTTTAGTATCGACCACAGTGATGCATTCACTTGCTCATAGATTTTGAGACTCCAGTACGGTCCTCATTATTATCTGGTTACAACTACATGCAAAGTAGATAGAGTTGGGTATTTAATTCAGAAACATTATGTCTTTCATAAGAGAAAAGCTATAAGTCGTTTTCTCGTGGGTGGTTTCAACCAGCTTTACAGGTAGTGGAATTTTACAGGAAATATTTTATAATTATAAGTGATTTGTGGAATCGTTATTTATTTTTATGTTTTTGAATTAATTATATTTTACTGTAGACATGGTTCCTATTTGCCCAATGTTAACTTAGCCATATAGTGGCTTTTTCCTCTATGTATATGCAACCGTACTTTTAATTAATTACATTCCACTGTAGACATGGTAGCTATCAAATCTGAACTTAATATTGTGTAGAATTTTCCTTTACGTACAGGGTTATTATAAAGGAGGTTCTGCTGTTCAACAAGTCATATCTCACAAACGGTATGGCATAGCAACAAGATATTGAAAGTATCATGCGGATGCAACTGCCATAATTTGCATACGTTGCTACCAGGAGCGCCATTGTGGTATATTTCGCATATTTTCCATGGGTATAAATGGGTCTGTCGAATGCAGTGCAACTTATTCAACCACCATGAAACCGACAAGTGTGTAGAGAGGTGAAACAGTGTAATGTTATTACACCAAATGATGCAACTGCCATAATTTGCATACGTTGCTACCAGGAGCGCCACTGTGGTATATTTCGCATTTTTTTCACGGGTATAAATGGGTCTGTCGATTGCAGTGGAACTTATTCAACCACCATGAAACCGACGAGTATGTAGAGAGGTGAAACGGTGTAATGTTATTACACCAAATGATGCAATGCCGAGACAGCTCTAAGGGAATACTGTAGAGTGCAAAAAATCCACAGAGGGTCTTGTTCTGTTGTTGCTGTATGCTAATTAAAAACAAAATGGAGTAGACGGGTTGCACTTGTGATAAGCCATGTACATACAGACCACTGACACCTACCGAAATTATTACTATGGTCAGCCATACCTAAGCAGAATAAGCCAGCATATTGTTCAACTTTGCGAATGTTTTCTTACAAGCTGCATATCCAAGCACTGAAAAAGATGGATTTAATCCAAGATATTGATTTTTGTATTGCAGATCTTGGCAAGACTAAAAATCGATGACCAGTCCATTATGGACTGACAAACTACACTTAACTCTTTCTGCAGTGTCAACACAAGCAACTGCATTATCTTGTCAGAAAATGATTTAAAATTGAACATTTCATACACACCTCCATGATGGTAAGGTGACAATGTGATATGATTTCACAGCTGACTTCGCTTTTTTCAAGAACTATCAGTGCATAGACTGCAAATCGGCACAGTAAATGCTGCATGGTACCATGTAATTCCCATGCTGCAACAATGAAATAAGCTATACTGTTTTTTACTCAGAATGGCACCCCTTCACATATTGGTACCCAGGTAGAACACGTCTTGCGGGAGCACTTTCAAAACAAAATTATTTCACGTCACTTTACTTTTGGATGACCATCTCGTTCAGTGGAACTAGTATCTGGTACCTGAAGTGCTGTGTGTATCATGAAAAGTCTTGCACAGTCTGGGAAGGGGTCAGCGTTCCATATGAGATACATGCTATTGCTGTAATGTCCATTGTTATACCTATATAATGTTATACCTATGTGTATATACAGTATGGAACAAAGAGGTCATATGACCGGAGATTGTTGCATGACGTATATATATAATTTGCCGGGGAGGTAGCTAGCTTTGTCAGGCACCGAATTGTTGGACCGTTGAAGTAAGATAATATTTTCACAAAATCACTAATGTCCGATGAGAAATTAGTAATACTCTTGGAGAGATATTAACGTTTGATGGGAATTCACTGACGTTCGAAATTTATAACTGTTCCTGGTCAAATGTCGTATATTTTCCGGTTGATAGGGTTAGCACAATCACAATTTATAGCTAACGCGGTTATAACAGTTTCATAGTAGTAATGGTTGGAGACGGCTTGAATGGGTAATGAAGAAAAACTTTAATATAAGTTTAACATAACAGCAAATGTATAACGTTTCGACAAGGTTTTGTCATCATCAGGTACAAGTAGTTTACACTGACACAGCTATATATATATATACAGTATGAAACAAAGAGGTCACATGACCGGAGATTGTTGCACGACTTACAAGAGATATCATGGCACCCCAGTTTATATGATTAATAATCAGTCATTAATTAGTGTGATTAGGGAGAGGTAACGTTAATGCTTGCCTCAGTAAAAGCTTCTTCTGACTAAAAGTAGCAATATAGATGGGGCTACACAAGTAGATTATAGTATTCACTAGCAGTATGACCATTGGACTGATTTTTATAACACTGAGTCAGTATTGTTATCTTATCTTTATCTTACTGTGAATTACTGTCTAAACTTCTGTGTTATTACGGTGTGTTTCATTACTTACTATAGTGTTGTGGCAGTGAAAATAGTTTTGTTTTTCATTTTGTGTTTTTTATGTATTGCATGAAAGTCTTGAGTTGTATTTTACTGTGTGTATGTACATTTTCTGTAGCTGAAGGTTCTGATTCAGTCAGTCATGCTGGATAAACGAAAAATTCATTAGAACATTGATTATAATTTTACAGCCGCTCCATACAAGATGAAGTGAAGGAATGGAACAGCTGTAATAATAGTAACGCTAGAACCTTCGCTTCTATAACTTTAATTCTAACGTATTAAACATTGTACATAATCCCAGACTCCAGCTGTCTCATTATTGACCGCTTCAAATCAGCATCTTAGAAATATCGTTCTGGCATATTTCTGCCAATTTTAGACTACTTTTATTTTCGTGTATTGGACCTTAATAGCCAGAAAGTTGACTGAGAGATTTATAACACGGATGTTGAGCACAATTGTTGAAAGACTTGTTTTGTCTTTTGTTATTCTGTTGAGAGTTTTGTTTGATTTGTGTTTTAATCCCTTTTTTTAGCACGAATAGTCCGCTTAAACAGTGATATTTGCAAGTTTAATTTACTTTTAGAATAAGTTTAACGATTAGCTAATGAAGAGACTAAATACATAGACTGTGATCCGGTTTGGCCTATTGCTAGCATACAGGACTGTGAATCCGAGGGTTCATGGTTTATGTCCTGTTGCTATAAAAACACAATATCCACTTAGGGACTGGGAATGTATAATAAGAGTGACGGTCAATTCCCACTAGTCGATTTGAGTAGTCTAAGAATTGAATGTTGTTGACTTACTCGTTGGCTATAACGTCGGAATTACAGACAACTAACGACAATGGTTTTTGGTGTAGCTTTGCGTGAATATTCCAAACGTACAGACAGTCCCGTTTGTATATAAATAAAGTATTGTTTATGTTGTTTCTGTAAACGAGGAACCCACGAGTCTTTTTTCCCGTTTTTTTTCCTCTATTTGATTTCAACACATTATACATCATCATTCTTCATCACGGTATTTCATTTCAGTTTACCTACTCCTTACCTGCTGGCCAAATCCTGGTACACTGGTCACTGTGGTTCTAGCCAACCTTTCAAAGCCAAATTGATGTGACATTCTTGTATGTTTCTTAGATCCTTTGTACAATGTTTAAGATTATTCAATATATTAATAGGAAGGAGGCTGTCGTTAAAAGTTTCTGTTCAGTTATGCCAGCAATAATGTTTGAAGAGACTGTTTTCATAACCTATACTCAATCGTAATTAACAAAAAATAGAAACTTGTTTTCTGTTTTTCAGGCGAATCATTTTTTAGTGGAGGAGATTTATTTCACGAGACTGCGGCTCGTGTCCTCTTTGTCACGATGCGACGTGCACGTGCCAACGAACTATTTCGCCTTTTGCCGGCGCAGGATCGTTCAGCCATCTTAGAGGAAGTGTGGGCGGAGCTATTTCTACTGCAAGCTGCTTATTGGCCAGTGGATATTATTGCAGTGGTTAAGCACTTGGGCCATGATATCAAGGTAGACTCGTCTTCTTTAAATACATATTTTAGTATAAACTTAATTCATGTTTAAGTTTTCAAGCTTTTACGTTCTTGAAAAAATAAATATTATTATATAACTGTTTGCATGGTTTCGTAAGAGATTTAGAGAAATCTATAATATGATCATAAAATTGATTTTGTCAGATCATGCTGCTGATTAAATATATATATACATTAAAATTAAATAAGGTAATCTCCTTATAGTGCTTTCTTAAAATTTTAATTATTTCATCTTTTTAGTTCCGTGGAATAAGCTAGGCGATTAAACCTTACATTTCGAATTGTGTTGAAAAAATCTGCTAACACTGACTACGTACATATATATAAGCTTTCAAGTTTCATGCGATAATCTTACTTACACAGATATTGACTGAAATTGGAAGTGTTTCTGCTTTTATTGTCCAATTCTATGGAACTTTTCGAAAAGGATTTTCTTTTGATTTTTATTCCCGTGACTTAGATTAAATAATGTATTTTAATTATTGAATTTCGACAAGATTATCAAGTTCCACAGCATATGTATGTTTTGTAATGATACAAGGTATTGTCAGATTCCGTGTAATATATGGACTGCTTTCTGTGATTGAATGCCATTTCCTAGATTAAATTAATTTTGTGTCTGAGTGATATAGAGTAGCACTTGTATCAACTACAAATTACAAATGAGACGAGTTTAGTTTAAATCCGTATTGTCACGTCAAGTCATCGATCGTTGGTATGATCATCTACTTTTGTTATGTTTAATGTCAGTTGAAAAACTAGGTCCTGCTAGCTCCAAAAGTGTGGGAGGAGCTCGGAGACATATAAACAAATTGACACCTAATAGTATGGATGTTATCGTCTTAGAAGAACCTTCGTCGACCGAGCTGAAATTTAGGGATTTATGTGTGTGTGTGTGTGTAAGGGAGAGGGGGGGCATGGTTGGCGACAACGTTCTTACATGTTGATTTTCTATCACATTGTCTTGCCCTTACATAAATGGTTCAAAAGACCTAACTCCTACCATGAAAACGTTTTCCACACTACTGTACTACCTCTAGCAGTTTGCAATGTGAAAACAACATAAAAAGAGTCAAGTGTTTTGTGTGGCTTTTTTCTAGTTTTAGTAACAGACATTACCTACTTTGAGACATAATGTGGCTGAACACACTTTGTATTTTTAACTGTGAACGCGTGATAGCCAATCCCGTGATATGTTCAAAGAGACAATCAAAGTCCGTGTGACGGCTAGTGCTGCTGGTTGGTTGCTTTCCTTCTGCTAAATAGTTCAAAATTAGAGACAGATGTATTTGAAACCTAGGGATCTCCGACTTTGCCATTAGCTCACGTGTACACAAGGTGCCGTTCAGATTTCAAAATTCAATTCCAGTTCTATATTTTTACACTATCTGTTGGTACAGAAAATTACGAAAGCTTGGCACATTCCACAGCTCTGAGAAACATTCGTGTCTGAAAATTCAGTGAAGTGTTTAAGAAAAGTACTGTACTGTGTCAAACAATTTATTGCCAGAAATGGATACGCTTATTCACTTAGCCTAATTATAGCTATAGTCTGGTTAAATGCAGGAATTGATTATATGAAATCATAATTAATCAACGACTGTATATATTTGATGTATTTTGTAAGATTTTTGAAACAAACGAATCAAATATCTTGTAAAGAAGCAAATATGTAACGAATTAGTAAAAACTAATACTTCTTGTTACCTCATTAAAATAAGTTTTGTATTTTGTAAACTCGTTTAACTTTTCTAGTGGTAACAAGATGCTATTGTTACTCTCTGTCCTTTAGTTGTAGCAGTTGTGTAATCTTTGAAATATATATATACTAGCTGGCGTAACAGTTCAAAAAATGGGTAAGACATAGGAACTTCCTGGGTTGACATAAGAGGATTAAGTCCGAACACCAAATCACCTGTGTCGTTATCGGGAAAGAGTGTCCTAATAATACATGCCAGGTTGATGACAATCGATCCAGCAGCTCGCCAGTCATATACGGACACACAAACGTAGACTTTGGTCAAATAATGGCTTAGATATATGCGTGTGTTTATGAATATACATACATACATACATATATAGATATATATATATATAGGCTCTGTTTGTTTGTTTTTAATATAAATATTATATCATTTACCATTCATTGTATATAATGTTAAACATTTTGCAGGACAGTATCCCTTCCCCCAGTCGTTCAGTAGTAAGTCTAAAGACTTGTAACACTTAAAACTGGGTTTCAATAATACCTGTGGTGGGAGACCACAGATAGACTGTTGTGTAGATCTGCGCTTAACAACAAACAAAAAACAGTATAAAGAATTTATTGTTTACTATAAAAAGTTTGTTTAATGTTCCCTTACCACTTTTACTTACGTAGTTCCATCTTTTACTATGTTCCTTCCACTTTCATACATCATTATTTTCTTTAAAATGGAACTGTTTTCTGAAACTGACAGACTGTTGTGATATCACGGTGAAATATCAAGAATTTTCATAAAGCGTTAGGGCCTGTTATAGTCTGGTGATTAGGGCACTCGACTCGAAACCTGCGGGGAGCAGGATCGAAACCTGTCGCTGAATATGCTTGCCATTTCATTCGTGGTGGACTTATAATGTGACTGTTAATCCCATTATTCGTTGGAAAGAGTATCCCAACAGTTGGCGGTAGTGTTTAGCTGCATTCCCTCTAGTATATTGCTTCAAAATTAGGGACGGCCAGTAGATATAGCCCTAAAGCAGCTTTGCGTAAAATTCAACAAAAAGAAATATGAATATTTTCTTGCTTGTTTTAACTATACTACATTATCATTTATGCACAGTTCTCTTGCATTTTATTTTCTATTTCAAATCTGTTTTAAAAACTATAGCTTCCATGTAGTAACTTCTTAATTGATATTACGTAATTTAATATGAAGAAGATGACAGTTCTTAGGATTGGCCTACTATTATGTTGGTTTATTTTTATACCAAAAATCTACCTTTCTGTAAATTAAACTTTACACGGCTTTAAAAGCAGCACCAGACTCGTAGAAACTTTCAGAAGTGTATACGTAATCGAATGCTGTGATAAGTACACAAAATGTGTATTTCAGAGAATGTAGTATTAGATGTATATTGTGCGTTTTTAAAACGAAATTCTTACTAATTCTTCTTGGGCCGATATATGAATTTTTTAAAGTAAACCTTATATCTCGTAACACAGGAGAATATTAGGCCTAATATCAGGTAGAATTAGCAGTGACCTTTTGACTTAGTTTCAGAACTATATTGTCGTTAAATAACGACATATATATTGCGCATTTAATTTTCATGTTTTCGTTTGTACTAACGTTTTGTAGTTTTAATTTTCTTGTTTCAATACTTTTGCTGCATTAAAACTCTATGTTACTATAGCTAGCTAGCTTACATATATATATATCGATCCCTATTTGTCTTTATCAAATTAATTTTTTTATTACACTTATTTGTTTCTTTTGTATTAGCAATATCTTTTGTACGCCAGCAATACCAAGTGTGGGGCGCGCATATACCCGATTCGATTTTATTACTCATCAGGATCTCTACCAACCTACCTTCAAATCTAATTATATGTCAAATGTAGCGCATCGTCCGTTATATATATATACTAGTGTCATTTTCAGTACAAAAAAGAGGAATCACTGGGACCCCAAACGGAAGAGTTCTGTGAAATAATTAGGGCGCTAATGTTCGTCACTTTTTTTCGTACGCTTACCTGGAAAAGTCACTTACTTACTTACGTAGATGAGAATTCGATGAACTAGTGAAATTTTGATCCACTCCATAAAATGTACATAGTGAGTAAGGTGACTTTATACGTACAATAAGCTTTAGTTGTGCTCAGCCGATACTGTGAAATAGTCATTGTTAATATTCAAACATTTTAAAGGTTGTTTTAAACGGGAGAATTTTATGACCGCCATTTTATTTCATGACGATCCTACTATTAAGTACTATCGTACTTAATGATATATTCTCGCGTGAAGTCCACTTTATTACGCAGACTCAAATCATTTTGAAATCTCTTCTATAAGCCAACACCAGTTCGCAAGTATTTTCTTTGCCCCGATGAAGCCATAAGTAAGAAACGTTGGCTTAAATAAAACCATTTATGTTTTCTGGATTGATAAGTCGTATTTTATTTACATTTTAAACAACAAATACAACTCTCCAGTTTGCGATATAAACCTTAAATTCTCATAAAGAAAAAAATGGTAAACAATCATACACTGAGCAAATGTTATTTCAATATTTTAGTTTTGTAAAATACAATAAAGAAATTAAAAATTATTTTATTTAGGTCGACCAGCAGGTGCTGCTTCGAAGGATCAAAGTTGCAGTGACACAGTGCCAGAATCTGCAACTGGACCATATAGAGAGGGCGCTATTAGAAACCATTATTCTTTGTCGAAAAGGTGTGAAGAAGTATTTATTTATTTTTTGTTTTCAAATATTGTTTTATACTAAGTAAATACAAAAATAAGACTTGAATAGAACTATATTGACACTTGCGTACAATATAATTTTATAAAGTTTCCAAACCAGTCTTATAAAACACTTTTATATTATGAAGAATATAAAATTTCTAAATATAGATTATTTAAACAACTCTTAATGAAGCTGCATCAAAGTTGTGCTACTTTCTGGTTTAACATATTGGGATATTGTTGCGTCAGCGAGGTCACGTGACTGGTGTCACGCCTCCCGTTTTCTGGAAGTGTCCTGTTCCTTCAGGAATGCCCTAGCATTTACTAGATATGTGTTGGTCTGGTATATATAAGATGGTCACAACGTAACAGTGTAATGAGTAATTGAATGTATGTGGACAAAATATTGTTGGCCACGTGAGTTATAGCGTTTGTTATAGAACGACTGTTGAAATTAAGTGTATCGTAAAGTTGTATTCGGAAAGAATAACCAGTTTTATTTAAGAAAGGACTTGTGTCGCTAAAGTTTCGCCGGAACGAATTTACGGAAAATTAATTAGCGAACGGAGACGTAACAATATAAACGTTCGGTTCTGTTAATATGCTTCTGGTTTCGAGGCTGAAACTCAACGGTAACATTAGTGTATGTTATTATTAAACATGTCTGAAGATGTCCCCAAGAGGGACAATGTTACAAGGCTAAAATCTGGGGTTCGATTCTCCATGGTAGATACAGCGGATAGTCCAATGTGGCTTTGCTCTAAAACAAACAACAAAACAGAAGACTGCCTGTATAAATCCTGTCTTCCATATCCGTAGTTCCTGTCATCAATAGAAAAAAAAGACAAAATGTAAAAAGGAGAGCTAAAGGCTCACAAGAAATAAGCTAAAGGCGGTTCAGTATGAACAAATATACACAACACATATTTGTTTTAAGTAATTTCAATATAAGCTAAAGTATATATATCCTTGTTTTCAAACTTAAAACTGACCACAAGTGCAGTCCCACTCGGAAACGTTACATAATATATAACACTTTGTTGGATACAAAATATGCAAACTAGAGTAAGAGGCCAATGAAAAATGTCTAATTCTTTTGAACTGTAGTCATTTTAAGTCCATTATTATATTGCCTAGCTGTTTAAATTTGACTTTTTTTTAGCGAGAACCAAGCCTATATACAAAAGTATATAAACAACTTGTGCCACAATGTTTGACTCGTTTCTGTGGATTATCTCAGCCTCTTTTCTTGTCTAATTTCAGACTGTACACGTGATTTGGTTGCAGCTCCCCAAGTAGAGAGTATGTTAGAACAGACACAGGCAGCGCTTGGACGTTACATGATGCATTCTTATCCCCAGAACCAGGGGAAGTTCGGGAAGTCTCTGCTGGTTCTGCCCATCCTCCGAAGTGTTCCGGCTTCTGCTGTGGAGGAAGCATTTTTCAGAAGTACTTTGGGAAGTGTGTCTGTGGCCCAGCTCCTGAACAGCCTGTGATGTTCCACATTTTGTCACACTTGCCAGGGAGTTGAAATGTATTTGCTAAAAATTTAAACATATTACTTAAAAACGAGTAAAACATGCCATTAACTTATTTAAGTAAAAATTATTTTTTGTTAAGTCTACCTTCTAATGACACACTGAATTGTTTATATTTATTTACTTTACTTAAAAAAATATATTACAAATTACCTGTGATTTTATTATTTGAAAATAGTTAAAGTAAATTACGTTACTGAAATTTACCCTAAGAACTAAAAATCTACTTTGTGGTTAATAATTCGTTTAATTTAGTTGTTTATTTCTTATTACGTGCGAAACTTGCAATTATCATATCCTGCATCAGTTTATCTTCTATATATATATATATACGCCTGTCGCTTTCAGTAACCTTTATTTTTTATTCCATTAAGTTATAAGTTGTATTAAATTTTGTATGTTATTGTAATCTTTGTTCAGTCCAAAACTTTCACTTCAGGATGTTTAACCGATCAAATAAACCAAGTGTATTTTATAAGGACGTTGTGTCAATATTTAAGAAATATAGGCTGTAATGAAGTAACTTGATATAACTTCTCAACTTTACATCTCTTTTTCTCAACCAATAATGAGTGTCAGTAGTACAATAATGTTGTACAACAGGTATAAAAATAATTCTTAATGAAACGCATATATTAATTCTATGTTAAGGTGAATAAAAAAGTCGATAGAATAGCACAGACATTCATATTTCATAGAGATTGAAGAATTTCTTTAAAAAAAATACACCATGTCAGTACAGTGAAACAAGTTACAAGTATAGTTTTGTTTGTTTGTTTCTTGATAAACTTTGCACACCGAAAGTAGTGCTCTGCCCACCACAGGTATCGAAACCCGGTTTCTAGGGGCATAAGAATGGTAAAAGAAGGAAAATACTCGCTGTTCAATCGAATGAAATGTGATTTTACTTTGAGGTAGATGAGTTTGATTTTTTAATATATCATTATAAACTGGTTCTTTTGAAACTTGATTTTTTTATTATAAGCACTTTTTAATAATAAACGTAAATTATGTTTATCTATAAAATTGATTTCCCTAAGTTTACGATGCAAATGTTTCAAAAACACGACTGTTTAATTATCTGTCAGGACGTTTTCAAACAATTAACATTTTTATTGTTAAATTAATTAGTGTTAGATCATATAAGGAGCTGTATATCAAATAGCAAGTGCAGAGCTGTGCTTCTGTCAAACCGTGCTATTCTAGTGCAATGTTTATTTTATTGACTTGAATTTAAATTATAAAGGAGAAAACGAGTGATGTTTCCATATAGCATGCATGTGCATTGTTTGAATAGTTAGTTATAAAGTCTCAGGCTTAGCTAGTTGTATACGTTATTGTTAACTCAAACCTTTCAATAAATCGGAATTATCAAAATCTTTCATTCTTGTTTTATTTTTGATTAAAGTTGTATTGTTATGAAAAGACAATACAATAACTTTTATTACTTCTAACGCTTTAATTACAGTGAATAGCATTGTTAAACCTAAGGATTTTTATAACTAACTTTTATAAAATTAACGAGCAAAAAAGCTAATAGCTAGATCTCTTTGTCAAGATAATTTTTTACAATTATACTTATCTGTTTGTTTGTTTGTAATTAAACACAAAGCTACACAGAGGACTATCTGTGCTCTGCCCATCATGGATATCGAAACACGATTTCTAGCGTTATAAGTCCGCAGGCATACCGTTGTGCCACTGGGGGCTATACTTGTCATAAGACATTAACGTTAGGCCTATTAATTTTTAAACACTACGCTTTTATCTAATAACAATAAACCAACCACATTACCGTCGACGCGTTTCGCTTAATCCAGATCTCTTCAGGTTGTCTGGGATACAACAAATATAGTAGTCATAGGAACATTATATATATAAGTCATCTGATACAACAACAGTTGTTATGGTGTGTATGCCTTTTACAAGATAGATTTTTAGTTATAATTTCAACTTTAGAACACTTATTTTTGATACCTTAATGTATCTAACAATTCTTAGCATTGTACATATCATCCATTAAAAACTCTTGGTATACTATATATTTTAACCTTACTACATTTACTGTTGATATCATAATATACGAAGCAATTCTTTAATAACATTGTATATGTGTTCCGTAACAGACTTGGAATTTATTGTATATTTCACAAGGCTCAGAAAGAATGTATCTGTTTAAATGTCAATATGTGTTTACATTGGAATATGTTTTACATTAAGTGTAAAGAATTATTTTTATAATTTGTTCCTAGCTGAAGTCTGTTAATAATTTTTAAGTCGGCCTAAAGGAAATGTACAAATTAACAGCTTATTTCAGTAACGTTCAAATCCTGTGTTTGGTAATATTCTTATTATAATATGAAATTCAATCGCACATATTTTGCAAGTTTGAAGACATGGGAAGCTTATATTTCTTATAGATATTTTGATGCTCCTCCAGATTTAATACGCCTTATTATATGACATTATATTCAATGAGTCATTGAAAATTGATGAACATTTGTTGAAGGTCTTGTCCTATTACTTTTACAGTTCTAACTCATCCTCAATTCTAAATTAATTCATGCTGAAATGAGTTATCAGACAAGCCAACTTGGGTTTTAGGGGTCGAACAAGAAGTTACAAAATGTTCCAAAAAAGTACTTAGAAAATGATGAACTTGTTACTCTCTGATTTCTTACAATCATTCAAATTGAAAATATCTGTTACCTTATACTCTTTTCAAATATTTATTCCGAATCATTCAAAACATTAAACATTACACTTGTATGAAATATACTTCATTCTAATGATTAGCATTACAGTATCTGATGAAACTAACTGAGTATCATTTTATCTGTTTAACATTATCATACAAATCGAGATGTATGCAGATATCATTGTTATTACGCTTTTATAATTTGTATATGAATACATCTTTCCTCAGACACTTGAGTAAATGTTTAAATACAATTGGATTTTCCATATACCTACTGTGAATGACGCTTAATATCGAACTTAGTGGTGTAACTTAAATGCAGGTGTTGTTTTTTCTGGGTGTGGCCCGTGCATTAGATAAGTCGGTAATTATTTTATCACAATGTCTAATGTGCTGAACATATGCAGAATAAAACATTCTGGAGAGGTCACTCCTCCTCCCCCCCTCTTGATAACCAAATTATTCTTCTGAGATGTGTGTGGTAATGTCTTCTGGGAAGTGATATCATAACTTCAAAGTTTCGATTAACGCTGATAATCATTAAGAATTATCTCATTCCTAGTAAAGTGAAGTCACTTTCAGCTTAATTGTTATTCAGGACATAAAGCAGTCGGCCTTAAAGAGAAATTAAAACCTGTTCTTGTCCACCTTAGATTGAAATCAAATGTCATTCTCTGTTGTTGTTTTAAGTGAAGTAACTGTGTCTAGTCCCTGTTTTTTTGTTTTTTTATTATTGTACTTCGTTAAATCAAACCTTATTTCCTGTAAATCTTTACTTTTGCGATCTTAATATTTATCTTAACAATACCACACAGTAATTATTATCTAAGTTTAATTACGTAATAAATTTAAAAATATTACACTTAGGGCTTTATTAATAAAATACTATACCGCCAGTATTTTACATTAGTTGGTACCAAAAGTAAATAATGTGTTAAGCATAAGTTTGATTTAAATAATTAAAGGAAGTATCTTATTATGCAAAACTTAAAACTTGTATATTGTTGGTGTTACGTATTGAGAATTTGAAATAATCCAAGGCCGTGTTAAATAATTTAACTTTTAATAGTTGAAACGTACCCTGGATTTAGTGTTTAGAAATATGCCGGTATTTTATTTAATTTACGCTATTCGCCAATAAGATTGATTCACACCGTTTTTGTTTTGACACAAATACGTTTTAATATATATATACAACAATATAATTTACAATAGCAATTATTATAATTAATTATTACAAACAAAGTTTTATAGAAAGAAAATTCACTAACTTACAAATAGCCTAAAACCGTCTTCCTACTTCAGTGTCCTTGATATCCAGCGAGTTGTACGTATATATATATAATTTGGCGGGAAGCTAGCTTTGTCAGGCACTGAATTGTTGGACCGTTGAAGTAAGATAATATTTTCACAAAATCACTAATGTCCGATGAGAAATTAGTAATACTCTTGGAGAGATATTAACGTTTGATGGGAATTCACTGACGTTCGAAATTTATAACTGTTCCTGGTCAAATGTCGTATATTTTCCGGTTGATAGGGTTAGCACAATCACAATTTATAGCTCACACGGTTATGACAGGTTTAGAGTAGGGTTGTTTTGTTTCAATTAAGATGGATTCCTTGATTTTTCGTTTGTTTATGTTTGGTTCTTTGTTTAAAATCACTGTGTTTTAATAGATATACTATAGATGTAGAATTCTCGAACAAAATTGATACTAACAAACTCAACAACAGAACATTATAGTGCAGTTTACCTTTTGTCCCTGAAACCAGCTCAAGAATAATCTACACTTGGACAAAAATAGCAATCAAATACAATATTCCTGTCAACGTCAAATTCTCTCAAAATCCGGCCCTAAATTAAAATCGTTACTAAACAAAAATTATTTAGAATCACACAA